CTAGTTTTCTCACAATACTAGAGAATTTAGAGAGTTTCTTAAGAGTTGTTTTCTCCTTTTTATCAAGAGAGAATTGTCATTGTTTTCTCCTTGGTAGATAGAGAGAAGTTGTAATTCCTATTTTCTCATAGTGAAGTTCTTCTACCGTTGCCCGTGGTTTTTACCTTATATTATTTAGGGGTTTTCACATAAATTTTGTCTCTTTTATCTTCATTTTTATTTTCTCAAATTATCAGTTGCGATTTTGTTCTATCTGATAGCCTTCTTCCGCAACAATTGGTATCTGAGCCAGATTAGAGTGTGTAATATCTACTTATTGTCTTTGTGGTTGCCACCAAAAGGTGGATCCTTCAACATAAGAAAGTAAGAAGGTATTACTCATCCTTTGAAGGTTCTAGATAACTATTCACGATAGTGAAATAGTGGGAGTTATCCATAATAGAAGCTATGGCAACGAAATTTGATATTGAAAAATTCAATGGGAGAAATTTCTCACTGTGAAAATTGAAAATGAAGGTCATCCTGAGGAAAGACGGTTGTCTAGCAACTATTAGTGAAAGGCCGATCGATTTCACAGATGACAACAAATGGATTGAAATGGACGGGAATGCTATGGCAAACTTTTATCTAGCATTAGCAGATGAAGTATTGTCAAGCATCGAGGAGAAGAAGACAACTAAGGAGATATGTGATCATCTCACAAAATTGTACGAGGCCACATCGCTGCACAATAAAATTTTCCTTAAGAGGAAATTGTACACTCTCCGTATGCCAGAATCTACTTCAGTGACGGAGCATTTAAACACACTGAACACGTTATTTTCTCAGCTTACATCCTTAAGATGTATAATAGGAGAACAAGAACGTGCTGAACTTCTACTTCAAAGTCTACATGATTCGTATGATCAACTTATCATCAACTTGACAAACAGTAATGTCACCAGTCTAGTCTTCGATGAAGTTGCAGCTGCTGTTCGACAAGAAGAAAATCGACACAAGAACAAGGAATACAAACAAGTAAATCTGCAACAAGCAAAAGCATTGACAACGATGAGAGGGAGATCAACAGAACGTGACTAAAGCAACAGTCACAAACATAGTAGATCGAAGTCGAGAAGCAAGAAGAATTTAAAGTGCTACCACTGTTGAAAGAATGGTCACTTGAAGAAGAATTGTTGGAGTCTAAATAAAAACTCTAATCCACAAGGCAATACCATAAATACTTCAGATGATGGAGATGCTCTATGCTGTGAAGCGTCAACCACCGTGGAAGGAAATAAAAGATTTGCAAATATATGGCTCATTAATTTGGGAGCAACATATCATATGACCTCAAGAAGAGAATGATTCTATCATTATGAACCTGTCTCAGGAGGATCTGTGTATAGTTGCAATGATAATGACTTAGAGATTGTTGGCGTTGGAACCATCAAATTGAAGATGTATGATGGAACAATTAAAATTGTTCGGGATGTGCGGTACGTGAAAGACCTGAAGAAAAATTTATTATCCTATAGATTGTTGGATAATAATGAAGCAAGATTGAAACACGGAAAGAAATCATGAAGGTGTTCCGTGGAGCGCTTGTGGTGATGAAAGGCGAAAAGATAGCAGCAAACTTGTACATGATGAAGGGAGAGACTTTGCTAGAAGCAGAAGCCTCTGTTGCCTCATGTAGTTCAGATTCTGCAATGCTATAGCATCAGAAACTTGGACACATGTCAGAACAAGGAATGAAAGTCCTTATGGAGCAAAAGCTACTTCCATAATTAATAAATGTATCACTTACTTTGTGTGAGCATTGCATAACAAGTAAGCATCACCTGTTGAAATTCAACACATCAAATTCTAGAGGCAAAAGTATTCTAGAATTGGTTCACTCTGACGTATGGCAAGCACCAGTTACATCCCTATGCGGAGCAAAATATTTTGTCTCATTTATTGATGACTACTCTAGGAGATGTTGGGTGTACCCTATTAAGAAAAAGTCAGACGTGTTTTCAACTTTCAAAAACTTCAAAGCGCGGGTGGAACTTGATTCTGGAAATAAAATCAAGTGTTTGAGAACAGATAATAGAGGAGAATACACAAGTGAAGAATTTGATGACTTTTGCAGTAAAGAAGGCATCAAAAGATAGTTTACAGTGGCGAACACTCCTCAACAAAATGGAGTGGCAGAGCGGATGGACAGAATCTTGTTAGAAAGAACAAGAGCAATGTTGAGAGATTCAGGCCTAGAAAAATCATTCTGGGCAGAAGCAGTCAATACCGCCTGTTATTTGGTAAATCGAGCTTCATCAACTGCAATAGAGCTGAAGTCACCAATGGAGATGTGGACTGGTAAACCAGCTGATTATTCAAACCTCCATGTATTTGGAAGTATTGTGTACGTGATGTACAACTCCCAAGAAATTTCAAAGTTGGATCCAAAATCCAGGAAATGCAAATTCTTGGGGTATGTTAATGGTGTAAAGGGGTATCGCTTATGGGATCCCACTGTTCATAAAGTGATCATCAGCAGGGATGTTATCTTTGTAGAAGATAAACTACAAAGAAAAGAAGAAGATGATAATGCTGAAAAGTTAGAGACTACACAGATACATGTGGAAAAAGAGGTTGAACAAGGAGATTCTTCTAAAGCAGAACCAGCACATGATGAACAAGAACCAGAGAGTTCTGAAGCTCCAATAACTCATCAATCAGATCGTGTGAGAAGACGTCCCAATTGGCACTCATATTATGTTATAGAAGGAAATATTGCATACTGTCTTTTAACAGAGGACGGTGAGCCATCAACATACCAGGAGGCAATAAACAACTTAGATGATTCACTATAGATGATGGCTATGCAAGAAGAAATTAAAGCCCTTCATAAAAATAATACATGGGACATTGTGCCACTGACACAAGGAAGGAAGCCAATTGGTAACAAATGGGTCTTCAAAATCAAGCGAAATGGTGACGATCAAGTGGAGAGGTATCGTGCATGACTGGTGGTCAAAGGATATGCTCAAAAAGAAGGTATTGATTTCAATGAAATATTTTCTCCTGTGGTTCGACTAACAACAGTTCGAGTAGTCTTGTCAATGTGTTCTACATTGAACTTACATCTAGAGCAGTTAGATATTAAAACAGCTTTTCTTAATGGAAATCTTGAAGAAGAGATTTACATGCTCCAACCTGAAGGTTTTGAAGAAGACGAAAAGAAGAACTTGGTTTGCAGGTTGAACAAATCTCTGTACGGTCTAAAGCAGGTGCCAAGGTGTTGGTATAAGAGATTTGATTCTTTCATTATGTGCCTTTGATACAACAGACTTAATGCAGACCCTTGTGTTTATTTCAAGAAGTTTGGTGATAACTATTTTGTTATATTGTTGTTGTATGTGGATGACATGTTGGTTGCAGGACCCAACAAAGATCATATTGAAGAATTGAAGGCACAACTGGCTAGAGAATTTGAAATGAAGGACTTGGGATCAGCAAACAAGATTCTAGGGATGCAAATTCACCGAGACAGAAATAATAGGATGATTTGACTTTCACAAAAGAATTACTTGAAGAAGATCTTGTCACGATTCAGTATGCAAGATTGTAAGCCAATTTCTACACCTCTTCCTATTAACTTCAAATTATCCTCCAGTATGAGTCCTAGCATTAAAGAAGAGATGATGCATATATCTCGAGTACCGTATGCATCAACAGTGGGAAGTTTAATGTTCTCTATGATATGCACAAGACCAAACATTGCACAAGCAGTGGGAGTAGTTAGTCGGTACATGGAAAATCCAGACAAAGAGTATTGAAATACAGTAAAAAGGATCCTTAGATACATCAAAGGGACCTCAAATGTTGCACTATGTTACAGAGGATCAAACTTACTAATCAATGGGTATGTAGATTCTGACTATGCAGGGATTTGGATAAAAGCAAATCTACTACAAGATATGTGTTCAAAGTTGCTGGTGGAGCTGTAAGTTGGGTTTTAAAATTATAGCCAATTGTGGCTACGTCCACAACAGAAGCAGAATATGTAGCAGCTACACAAGCCAGTAAAGAAACAATTTGGTTGAAGATGCTATTGGAGGAGCTTGAGCACAATCAAGAGTATGTCTCTCTGTTTTGTGACAGTCAAAGCGCCTTGCATTTAGCAAGGAATCCAACATTTCATTCAAGGATAAAGCACATACGAGTTCAATACCATTTCATTCGTGAAAAGGTGAAAGAAGGAACAGTAGATATGCAGAAGATCCATACCAAAGACAACATAACATATTTCATGACGAAGGCGATCAACGCTGATAAATTTACTTGGTGTTGATCCTCTTGTGGCCTGTCAGAGACGTAAGCAACATGAAAGTACAAGATAGAAAGAATGGTGTGAAGATATGATTGTTCCAATCAAATCTTCAAGTGGGAGATTGTTGAAAAGTCAATGGTTGCCAACTTGGCCAAAAACTTCCAAAATACATGGTGGTGGCTTTCGGTGCATTAATGCACCGAAATTATACAGCTTGAAATTGTTGATTTTTTGGACAATGGTAAAATCACAATTTGGTCATTGTACTTTAGGGTATTTATAAGATTAGTCCTTAAGCTTCAACTATAAATACCTTAGCTCATTTAGCTTCAAAACCATCCCAAATCATTCTAGCTTTCTCACAATACTAGAGAATTTCTTGAGAGTTGTTTTCTCCTTTTTATCAAGAGAGAATTGTCATTGTTTTCTCCTTGGTAGATAGAGAGAAGTTGTAATTCCTATTTTCTCATAGTGAAATTCTTCTACCGTTGCCCGTGGTTTTTACCCTATATTATTTAAGAGTTTTACACGTAAATTTTGTGTCTCTTTTATCTTCATTTTTATTTTCTCAAATTATCAGTTGCGATTTTGCTCTATCCGATAGCCTTATTTTACAACAATACATACATACGTCCTTGCCTCTATCTTCTTTAATTTCTCTATATAAGTCAATGCGCTCCCTCTCCTGCCACCAGCGATTCAAATCGCCAAAAACCTAAACCAGCATTGAAGATAGCAGTTCCTAAGGAGATCAGTGTCCCCAACACAAAAAATGGCTGTCACTCTTTCATATGCAATCATCTTTCTTTTAACTCTAGTCTGGTATAGATTCGTAAGAAGGCAAAAGAAAATATCCCAAGGAAAAGCCGAGACCGAGCTTCCTCCGGGATCAATGGGATGGCCTTATATAGGAGAAACTCTCCAACTCTATTCTCAAGACCCCAATGAGTTCTTTTCTTCCAGACAGAAGAGGTTTTGAGGCTCTCTTCGTTTTGATTTCTTTTTCTTTTCTTGGTTTCTTGTACTTTTTTTTACGTGGTGGTGGTTCAGGTTTGGAGAGATTTTCAAAACGCATATATTAGGCTGCCCTTCCGTCATGCTGGCTAGCCCCGAGGCTGCTCGCTTCGTGTTAGTAACAAAAGCTCACTTGTTTAAGCCGACGTACCCCAGCAGCAAGGAGCGTCTCGTTGGTCCAGCGGCGCTGTTTTTTCACCAAGGAGACTACCACACTCGTCTCAGGAAGCTGGTTCAAGCCTCATTGTCCATCGAGGCTATTCGGAACTTGGTGCCTGATATCGATGCCCTAACAACCGCTACCATGGATTCTTGGCGTGAGGGGCATGTCGTTAACACCTTTCATGAAATGAAAAAGGTTTGTTTAGTTCAACGTCGTCGTCAAACAAATGATTGGGGTCAATATTTTTATATTTCTTTTTGCACTTTAACATGTACTGGGACAAACAGTTCTTTTTCCCTAGTAAAATACAGTGTAGGAAAGTTTTGTTCCTATTATCTTTGGATCTCCTGACTTTATCTTTGTCTCCAAATAATTGCAGATTTCTTTCGAAGTTGGCATATTAATGATTTTTGGCCGTTTGGAGGCTCGATATAGAGAGGAGCTTAAGAAGAACTACTTCATAGTCGACAATGGCTACAATTCATTCCCGATAAACATCCCTGGAACTCCATACAGAAAGGCATTACAGGTAATAAACATTAATCCTAATCTCTGTTACTGTTAGTTGACACCTAAAATTAACTGTGCTCTTTCGTATTCACTGAAATTCAAACCAACTTCCGCCAGGCAAGGAAGAAGTTAAGCAAGATATTGAGTGACATCATAAATGAACGGAAGGAGAAGAAGTTGCTGGAGAAGGATCTGGTGGCTTGTCTGTTGAATTCCAAGGATGAACAAGGTGAAGTCTTAACCGATGATCAAATCGCCGATAACATCATCGGAATTCTTTTTGCTGCTCAGGATACCACGGCTAGTGCTATGACATGGATTGTCAAGTACCTCCATGACAACCCGAAACTTCTGGAGGCAGTTAAGGTAGGGCCTGAAACGAGCCAAACTAACCATTTTTATTTTTCTTCTTCTTTGGGTTGTGTCTAGAACGGTCTATATATCTTTCTGTATGAACACTATATTCTCATTTATTGATTGTCCTTTGTCATTGAAATTTTCATGTCCAGGTCAGATCAGTACAACAGCATAATCTTGATAAAACTAATGGGTGATCCTGTCTTTGTAGGCTGAACACAAGGCAATCAAAAGATTGACTGAAGAAAGCAATCAGCAGCTGAGTTGGTCACACACAAGGAAAATGCCAACTACTTACAAGGTGACTGGGAACCGTCAATCATAAACAGTGATATTTATCCTTTTGCTGAATCCCTAAGTTGGATTTGGATACCCTTCCATCTTGGCTGACAGTGGAAAGCATTTGACTTGGTCAGGTTATATTAGAGACTCTAAGAATGGCAAGCATCATATCCTTCACTTTTAGAGAAGCAGTCGCTGACGTGGAATACAAAGGTTTAGAATAAATCAATCCATCATGTACAAAACACATATCAGACATTCAATAAAACTGTACACAAAATGGCATATAAGGCAATTGCTAACTCTAAAATTGCCAACAGGTTACCTTATTCCGAAGGGTTGGAAAGTGATGCCTCTGTTCAGAAACATTCATCACAATCCCGAATTCTTCACTGATCCCCAGAAATTCGATCCTTGGAGGTTTGAGGTATGAACAGGCAATTAAGTGTCTTCGATATATGCAATGCGTTTCTTTGGTTGCAGTACACATGACATGAATTGCTCTCACGGTTTCTTGTAGGTTGCCCCAAAACCCAACACTTTCATGCCATTTGGAAGTGGAGTGCATGCCTGTCCTGGAAACGAGCTTGCAAAGTTGGAGATGCTTATAGTCACCCACCACTTGGTTTCCAACTTCAGGTATGTTTTTTTAAATCGATTTTTAAGGGAATGTTCTATTTGCCTGTCCCCTTCACTGAGATTTTCCAATCTTAATCAATTGTTAAAGGAATGTTCTACTATATGATGTTTCTAGACGACCCTTCCGTGATATTCCTGTAAATGTAGTGGATATGTGAAATAAGGTGACTAAATTCATAGAGATGGTGGAAAGAGACCACAAGAAATCGAATTATATATCTTTGGTGTTGGAAGAGGACTTGTTGCGAATATTAACTGCAGACAGTAACATTTTTGTTGGGTTTTGCAGATGGGAAGTGGTACAATCCGAAAATGGAATCCACTATGGCCCATTTCCAGTTCCTATGCAAGGACTCCCCACCAGATTTTGGAAAGAATCTACAACATAGAAAAGGCAGGCATGAAAGATGGGTGGATTATAATTACAGCAATAATGCAAAACTCCCTTACAGTAAAACTTTTAACTGGACAATTTCCAGTTGCTTTTACAATTTATATAGCAAATCCCCTTGCAAGTTATTTCCTATCCATCTCAGATACTACTTCATTCTCATTGTCATTCAAGCCTTTTTCATTTTGTAATTTGTAGCTCCTAAATTGATATTTATGATAATCGAAAGGCTTTCATTAGCAAACAAGTAGTATTCCCAGTTTCAGATTTATCTGCAAATCATTTTCAGAAAGGAGTAAAAATCATGCTTTAGTATTCATAGCTTGCCGTTTTCCATAAATAATGACCACACTTATGATGCACTCTCTGCCAGGGGTTGCAAGGGAGACACGTGTCAAACAAACATTAGCTAACTTGGAATAGATGATGTCTCCGGCAGGTAAGCAGCCTGTGAAGGACAGCCAAGGTTGCATATCACAGCTTGTGATGTCTTCCTTTATGGACTCTACTCAGTACATGTGGATACCAGAGCTCCATAGCCTTTATTCAATTTCCATTTTAATCATTATCAGGCAGCACCAACTTTGGTTGGCCCTGATATTTTTTAAGCATCTTTCACTGTTGTGGGGAACGCATTACCATAACCCTGCTTTTAGTCAATCAAGTTCATAAGTGCAAGCTTGCCTGCTTTCTCTTCTTTTGCGTCCTTCTAATCTCACATAAGAAGGTGACCAGAAGTTATCTACACAAAGATATATATATATATATTAAATCCTGTTTAAACATTCTATTCAATTGTTGCCGTGGGAAAATCTTTAAGACAAGACATTGAACCTTATCATGCACTGGCCTGGTGAGTTGCCGAGGAATATATGATTTGGTTGTGCGTTTCCGTCATTAGAATCGTGTCACATTCCTGGTAATCCAATTCTAGATATGCCATATCTAGAGTTTGAATTGAGAGATTCACTTATTTGTACAAATGCCATATCTAAAAGGCTTCTTACTCTTCAGCAGATATATTCAAAGCATGCAACTCAACAGAGCTGAAAATGAACAAGCAGACAACGCTGTTGATCATATTACGCGAACAATGGGGTAAGCAATAACAGTTTCACTAAGAACATCCTGTAAATCATGGTTACTGTAGTAGCATGTTCTATGCCAGATAACCCGGTCCGATCTATTCCAAGTAACTTATTGATTATTTTACTGCAAAAGCAAAGTTTGAAAATATTGGCACCTTGATTTGTTGACGTATATTTCTTAATGGCCTCAACAATTTTCTCCTTGTCACTGGTCAGAAATGCTTCCAAGAGAACTCCATTCTTATAGAAGTAGAAAAGAGGCACTGCCTGCAATAATTCAGATTCATCTTAATATGCAGCGAATGACACATGACAATCATCTTTGTACATTAGGTTCCTGCAGAAGAAAATATACAATAAGTAAGAGCTCATGTCTCACTGTTCCTGCTCTTTATTCTTAAAACAGCAACACTGAATTAGAACATAGAACTGATGCATCAACATACTTTGTTCAAAGTTCGGGTCGTGTAAAAGATACTCCCACTATGTTTCAAGATCACGTCAGCATCTTCACCGACCACACCCTTGCATAATTTCGAGAACCCTTGCTCTATGTACTTGCAGCTTCTGCAGGAAGTTCGATAAAAATCAACTACAACTAAAGAACTAGTTTCTTTGGCCTTTTCAAGAATTTTTAAGAACTCTTCATCGGTTTAAAATTCTCTAACACAGTCGACGGGGCAGAGGTCGTCCTCTTTGTCAGATAATTTCCCTTGACTTCCATCAGCCACTCCTTTGATGCATCTGCGTTGTAATGTGTATATGAGGCTAATTTCCATAGATTGTATTTTGGCCCTTCAATGACAAAAAATTGCATTACTTGAATGGTTATGTAAGCCCGGAAGGGCACAGGCAATTCCATAATTGAGTTGTCCATAAAGATTTTTTTTCTGAAAAAGAAAGAAGCATTACTGTCGAGAATATTCTGCTTTTGCATCACTTCCCAGGGCAATCTCCGCCACCACAAAAAATGTATGAATATAGAGAATGAGCTTGAGATTATCTTTCAAGCATCCCTCGTTCACTATAAGTCTGTTGAACCAAAAAGACAAGTTCTATAACCCACCATGCATCCATGCTTATCTAGTAATTCAGTAACACCAAAACTGAATGAGAAACAAAAGTAGAAGGTATGATATGGTAGGTCACTTTCTCAATGTAACCCACAGTTATTATTGATTTTTATTTTCCTTTCTGCTAAGCAAAAGCATCCTAAAACATATCGATCCACTGACACAAAGTAAAATATTTATCAGTGTACGGTTAATCAAATGCTTGTCCGTCCGGCCTCACATATTGGAACTTGTAAGAACAGTTAGCCGAAGCTAAGGAACTGACTTTAAGTGTTTGGAAAGGAGACTGCTTTTCATATTACGTGGAACTTGTAAGAAGTTGAAAGGACTTAACGAACAACAGCTTACCTGAGGGCAGTTGGGAGTTAAGGCATAAGAGAAGTGACTTGCCTATGGAAAAAACTGAAGAATCTTCGATTGAGAAACGGAAACGCCACCACCATATCCGCTTTTCAAGTTCTATCCTTTGGATTCCAACCATTATTTGGTATAATGGGGTCACATTTTGGTTTTACCTTTTATTATGTCATAAGTGGAACATCGTTTTGTCCCAAATCCAATCCCAGTAGCAAAACCAAACTGAATTAACGTCTAAACAGTTGCCGGTCTTGCAATTAAATTGGAATCGTCTTTTCTACCTTCCTACTTGATAAATCACATGATTTTGCTTGGTCTTAGTGCTCAACTAAAACATCCAATCAGGATATAAATAAGTAAAATGGGGCCACGAATGAGAAATGATCATAAAATATCAAAATCCAACGCCTGAAGGCCCAAAGACCATCGCGCGCCTTCATTTTTTATCATTGGTTGGTAATGTATTGTTCAAAAGTCGGGAAATGATGCTTTTGTCAGTTATTCCATTCTAGGATCATATTATGTGTGCAAATTTATGGCCAATTAATCGTTTTTATATGTAAAAGTACAATTTAGCTTGATCTTTTTAAATTGGATGTCAGGTATATTAAAGCACATCGGATCATCTATGTTTCAATTAAATTTAACTTAAAATTTTTATTTGATTAAATAATTAAAAATGAGTGTCACTTTGATATTTAATTTTTAAAAATTGATAATTAAATAACTTTGAATACTCAACACTCCGTGAATTAGATCCTCCCCAACAATGTCTCATACCTCTTTGAAAAAATAGAAGCATAACCATCAGGCCCCGATGCCCTGTCAGATTCCTAAGCAAACATAGCAGCCTTCACTTTATCCTAGTAATCTTCCTCTGTAAATAATCCTTAATAGTGTCAAAAAAACGTAACCCCAAAATCTCTCGAAGTAGACCTACATCCACCTTAGAAATTGAACCATCCCGAACCTCCAATGAATTTTTGAAGAAAAAACCCACAGCCTCCACAAAAATATGCTCCTGAGTATCCAGTCGTTGCCCTTGATCATTCAAAAGGGGACATATCATCTACCTATTTTGCTTAACAGTAACATAGAATGGAAAAACAAATTTTTTATCCCCTTCTTGAACCCACTGCACTCTTGCTTTCTGCCTAAGGAAACTCTCCTCCGCTCTAGACAATCTCTGGAACTCAACCATAGTTTCCCTTTCACGAGCCTACAACCTTTCATCCAGAGAAACGGCAAAGACATCTAACTGAGATACTTATACATATTCAACAGACAAAACAGGCTTTACCTGTTTGAGCTTAAGAAAAAGTAGCTTTAGAGGGTCATTAGCCCACAAAGGCTCATTCAAACTTGCACCAACCACGTAAGGAACTCAGGATCCTTAGTCCAAAAATTAAAGAAATAAAAAGACTTTGTAAAAAACTTTAGCGCCTGCCAATTCTAACCAATCTCGGGCAATGATCTGACATGCTCAGTGCAATAAACTCAACCTAAGCATGAAAAAAAATAGATATCCAAGAAGTAGAAACCATCACCCTTTCCAATTTTTGGGCCAAAAATGCATCCTCCTATCGATTAAACTAGGTGAAAACAGGCCCCCGATATGCATGGTCAAACAAACTAATAGAACTCGTGCAATCAACAAACTCTTTCATGTCATGATCAAGAGTGCTCCATCTCTCAGGCGCAACCACTACGTTAAAGTCATCCAACGACCAATTTAAGATCAATCAAATGTTGCCAAAGCCTAGTCTGATCAACTCTTAAATTGCAACCATAGACACTCGACACAAAGAATTTGATATCACCAACACGAACAACTCTTGTAATACACCAATCAATGATAATCACTTCCTCAACATCAATAGTAGCTTTACAAAGAAACCAATTCCTGCCCAAAACCGAAAAAGCATAGTTATGGAAACAATCCAACCAAGAAAATACTTGGTCTAAAGGGAATGCTTATTCACCTATCTAACTCTAGTTTCAAATAAACAAACCAAATCAACATTAAGACTCCTAATTCCATCCAAAACACCTAACTTGTAATATCCTCAATATCAGGTTAGTGACTAAATTAAAAACTCCAGAATTTATTAGCTAAAGTAGATAAATTGAATAGTTTAGGGACTTATATGAAAAATTTATGTAGGATTGAAATGTAAAGAATGATGGATAGAAGGTCAAAATGGTCATTTGACCTAAAGATAAATTAAAATCTAATATGGTGATGATATATATACACGTGGAGATTGAAAGAAACGAGAAAGGAAAATATCCAGAGAGCTCTTCTTCTTCTTCTTCTTCTTCAGCCGTGAGCTACCATAACAAAGGTGAGTTTCTTATTAGCTAAGTTATTTATTGAATTTAAGTTTGGTTTATGTTCATTGGGCAATACTTAAGCTTAAGGAAAGCTTAAGTTGTTCTAAAATCAAAAGATGAGGGAGTTAGGAAAGATTAAAGATAAGAGGGTAATAAGTGAAATCTTGGAAGAGAGTTAGTAAATAAAGTTTGAGACTAGAATTGACTTGTCGTCAACTTAATTAAGAAGTATGAAGTGTTAGAATTGATATTAGAATATGTTGAAAAATTGGTAGGATTCTTGATTTCTATATATAGGATGGGATTTTGAAGATAAAGATGTGTTAGATGAATAGAAATTGTTTGAGTATGTGTACTTGAGTTAAGAGTACGAAAGGGAATAAGAAATGAAGG